TATCTGATTAAATATCTGTTAAACCCTTTCTTGTCAACTTTCTTTCATACGAATTTTATGTTCAGCAACGTTGCCTTTGGTGATTAAAAAGTGAGATTTTTCACAGGGTTTTTTTAAATATTGGCTTCACACACGCAATGCCATTTGAAGAGAGCGCCTGTAGGCAATTACAAAAAAAGGTTAACATGTACAAACAATGAGATATTTATGTAATTGTATTTTAAATTTCAAATTATGCCAACTCCAATTATTTCTGATTGTTGTCAGTTTTGGACAATTGCTTCTTTCTTGTGCCAACTACTAAAAATTCACATCTTTGATTTTTTAAATTTTTCAATCTTACTTTACATCTGATAATGGGCTGATTGTAATGCCTTCTCAGGTAAACACATCAAAGAATATGGGAAGGTAATACATGGTGAAAATCGCCGATATCTTCCACCTGAATCACCCCTGCGGACTAACAGCTTTGGAAACTATGAGAGCCGCCCCCCTCATGAGTTGACATCCATGGGACAGCAGCTAGACTTTGGCAGACAGGTGTTGGAACTTTGGCACAAGGCCTCTCACGATCCAACACCCCATCAACGGAAAAAGGCAAAGTCTGCAGCAACAAAGCTGGAGAAGGCAACAGGAAAGAAGGGAGTGGAAGAATTGGCTCGATTGCCATATTATACTGACGTTGATATACCCGTCGAGCTCATGCACACAGTTCAAGTGAGTTATATTAATCATGTATTTCATGTGAGTGTGAAATTTTTCGATAAGCTAACATTGACCTTAAATGGCGTGAAACATTGTTTTATTGAGCCTGGGTTTTGTTAACCAGCCGCTTATTCTAAATCAGTAATGTAAACACAGTTTAGTTGCATATTGAATAAATTGACAAAAGGTTATGACAGATGACAGATTTTAGGCAGGTTATGCTATCACGAATTAATTACTGCATTAAATGTGGTCTTGTTTAAATGGTATAAATTAAATCCCACAAAAGGGAAATACTTTTTTAGAAATTTGATTTCGAGTTATATATACGCACAAACATGAGTGTAACAAAACAAATGTTGAATGAAGTCTTTTTTGTCAAGGGCAATACACATGACCAATTTAATGTATGAACAGGTGGTCATGAAGAAGTTTTTTGGGCTTCTGACTGGAAGAGACGACAACGAAAAGCTCCATGATGCTGAGGCTGCCCTTGGGAGAAAAATAAACATGCGAGCTGGGAACAGTGCACCATGGACATTGACAAAAGAGGAGAAAAAAACAGCAGATGAGAGGCTTCTTCAAATACGGCCACCATGTGGACTAGACTGGACCCCCAAGAAACTCTTTACACGGACCAGCCTACCGTACATGAAGTGCAGTGATTGGAAAAAGGTACCGGTACACATCTAGAGTTAACATTTTCATTTCGATTGCCGAGAGGGGCTGCTTTTGCATTTTTAAAAGTTCATGGGCGTTACAGAATTCCATTAGTAGAAAAACACGTGTAGTCAAATTTAGACAACGCATTGTTACTCTGAAAATTGTTGCATTCATCCAAAGTTGAATAAAACATTTTTTTCAGTTTTGGGCAAGTTGACGTGGTTCTCCTGGTTAAATTTTCACTCAATTAGGCCACGTGCCCATTTTCAGGCATCCTCGGTCACATATGCGTGAAAAGATACTTGTGGCCTTGCCTAGAACGTTACAAGATTCAAAACTTTCATTTCAGCTTGCCTCTAATGGCATACTGAAATATGCACTACGTGGAGCTCTCGGTGATGCTCAACGAACTACGCTGTCCCGACTCTGCGATACTATAAGAGAGCTGACGGACTACAGTGTGGACCTAAATAGAATCGGAGCCATTGAGAAGGAGCTTCATGAGGTCTTGAGCCTGGTTGAACAAGACTTCCCATTAGGAATTCAGGTGAGTTTGAGATTGTGTTGCATGTTCACAAAACGTATTTAGTAAGATTCTGAAACGACAGAGTTTGATAATGAATCGACGTAACGTTCCATATATCTGATTTTTGGCACTGCAGAGACACTTACAGTACTGAAGAACATAAGGGTACGCGTTCCAAAGGTGTTGTGAAGCACAAAGGGAGTATTACCATACAAAATACACTTTCGGAATATTGATATTTTCGGTTTTTTAACTGTACAGACGCTGTGTATGCATATTCTACACCATGCTTCATCCACACTGCGAAAGTACGGTCCGGCAACATCCCAGTGGATGTTTGGTTTCGAGCGGTTTATGTCATTCCTCAGTGGTAGGATACTCAACAGGAAAGAGCCAGAAGCAACTGCAATCGAAGCATACAGAGTAAGACCACAATTTTCTTTTAACACATTGCATATCAGCAGTACGAGTTACGACCCTCCTAACTTGCAGTTAATCGGCAAAGTTATTTCCACTCATTCGTGGAGTTCTACAAACGATGGTGGGTTCATTCACGACAGTAAAATTTTTATAGGCCCTAATCAACTCAAAAAATCATTTCTGCAACAGGTGAGATATTGTCAGCAAGAAAAAAAATTAGCCCGGGGTGCTGTGGAGGGATCACTCTAACTCTCTTCTTTTCAATGATTTCTGATGTTCTCTTCACAGATCTATGAGTTCAGCCAGTTTATGGCTATGTCTGGCTTGCTTCCTGAAGGCAGTGTATGTACAAAAAACTCGATCACTGTGATTGCTGCAAACGAGTCTCCTGACAACCAACTTGAAAGTAAGGACCAATGTCTAAAAATGGAAAGTTTTAAACTTATACGGACTTAATGTGAAAGATTCATTGTTAACAATTAATACACTGATGACATCTCGAAATATCTCAAACCTTGTTAGGAAATGAATCAAGTTAATACTTACTTAGCAAAAGTATTTTGCTGTTTTCAATTTGACAGCGAAATACATATACACTTTAACCCAATCAATAACAGCAATTCAATTCAAATTTCACTGGTTTCTTGTACGGCAGGAAACAATTGTCTTCTTAAGTTTAGCAACAAACGGCATTTGAACGAATGGCCACCAGTGGCCAAAGGTTTAAAGGGAAACACTGTGGTGATGTGAATCGGTTCTAGCCAGCTCGCCACACTTAGGCTATCAGTTTCTCTTATTATGTAAAATGACTGAACAACCGAAAATTTGTTCTAAATCAACTGACAGGTCATGACAACCCGAAAGACCAAAGAGATGTAGTTCGGAGGCAAAGGGAAGCACTGTTGGAGGAGAATAAGGCTGCTCTCCTCTCACTTGGTATTTCAGGTACCAGTGTAGAGAAAGTGTTCACCGCCCAGAAGGCCAACCCGCGTACTCTGAAGTACTCGTGCTTGGAAAAAGATACCAGTAAGAGTACTGTCTCTTCCATCATCGCTGGCTTTTTTCAGGCAGGCGGTGGGTCAAGTAATCGTTGGGGTACACAGTACGTTTACTTTGGGCAAGTTCTCTACTTCCTCCGGTGCAAGGACACACTAAAGGAGTTTGGCAAGATATCCTGGTGGAAGCAGGCAATTATTGATACAGAGAGTGGCTTATGGAAAATAGAGGAGCCTCAGGAGCATCTGTCCACAGATGTTGTTCCAGTTGCACTGCTCTCTCCACCTTTAACAACAGCCATGGATGAACACGGTGTTCTTTGGGTACTAGACTTCAATTCCAAATATGTCAATGTAATACGTTAGAGCCAAAATGAATGCAAAGCACAAATATGTCTTTCGAATTAAACATCATTCCTGGAGGGAGACGAAAATGAAAAAAAAAACAATTACGAAAGTGACCCCTCTTTGACGAAATTAAACTGTCTTTTCAGTACTTTCAAAAATTGCCAAAAATTCCAGGCCGCCTGCAGGGATGTCAGAAAGTAATTTTGAGTATAACAACATACACTGATATCTCCAAATTTCAAGTCTGATAGTACACGTATATCCATCCAATGCTGGAATGCCCAATTGTCTATTGTAAAAGGAGCAGAAAGTAGATAACTCAGAATTTATTAATTTGATCAGAAATGTGGTTAATATTTGCTTATCTATTATATGCTTCAGGAGGAGAATGTCATGCCGTCAAAAACAGACATTTAATTCAAAAAGAATACACTTTATGCACAGATTTTGGTAGGTGAATATTTTCAAATCAACATGACGTGCTATCCTCACAGTTTCATTCGTTCCAGATGAATGCATTTCGGGTTCTCAATTGTGCTATTTTCAGTTGTAATGACACTTCATTTAATTCGCTGACCTACCCATCTTTAAGAAAGAGACCACGTGTTGTACATACAATCGTCAGTGTTTTCACGAAGTGAAAAAAGAAACAAAGTTTTCGATCTCTACTTTTTTGCAATATACCCGCAACTTGGTACGGATTAGCAATATCCGTGTGTAAAATTATATGACTTTGTAAAAAATTTCTCAATCCGTAACATAAGTGATCGAAAAGGTGTATTGGCAAGATTCTGAGGTTTTGAGGTTACTTGCCAACGTCACTTTCCAACGATGTGTTGTTGTAAAACAACTCGGCAGGCGTGTATACACCTTTATAAGTTGTAGCGCACTGTAAGTTGTAGTGCATGGCCAGAGGGGAATGGTCAAGAAATCGATTGTTTTATGCAATAATTATGATGTCAGTATTTCCCAGTGTTAATCTTTTTCGTTATCGTGAGAATAATTAACTGGTGCGAAAAATCATAATTGACGTAAATTGTGTTCAGGCAGCCAGACTGATACCCTCCAGGAAAATAATGATTTACGATTGTAAATGTACATGTGCATCTTCTCATTAGAGCATAAGCTCTCTGGTGTGATTTTTGTAAATGTGTTGTGTGTACCATTATGAGGGAACTGCACTTTTTTTTCGTAAACTCTCTGAGTCGATGGTTGCTTTTCCCATATTCGGTGCTGATATGCCGGCCGTTTCCTCTCGGCTACCCTAAATAAGTAGCCCGGTAAGGGATCTTGTTAACGGGCAACTTCGGTCAAGAAAAAAAATAAAGTCACTTTTCCGAGATGGAAAGTCAATGTGTACTGTATAGCGCGAGTATACAGTATAGGCCTACAATGTCCACGTACACATGTAGTGACAAGCAACTTTACACAATCATGATCCAGGGCACGCCTGCTTTATTTCGGTAGTCTGCACTGACATGACAGGGTCGTGGTCGACTGGGCCAGCAGTATAGGTCAACGGCCTTTCCTACTATTAACCTTGAATAAGTAGTAGCAAGAGTTGCCAACCGCAAGTATCCAAGGCGTCTGTGTCACGTTTAACTATTTGTGGTTCATGGGATTGTAAATAACATGTAATTCCAAACAATCTGGATGTTTCAATTTACACACAGATCCATTTTTTGAGGCTAGTTCTTTTGTGTCTTCGAGTTTTGAACTATGTGACTGAAAAAAGTAAATGTTGAACAGCCTTACTGCCCCAATGATAGTGCGAACAAAGACTTGTAATTTACAATAAATTGGAAGTTTTGCTGTTTCATTTTTTCATGCTTAGTGAAAGGAGTGAAAGGTTTGTAGAATAATGACTTGGTGGGTCCGATAAATAATGTGTGAACCTCCATACTTCTTTTCAATGAAAGAAACTATTTCTTTCTCCGTGATTTCCAGTATTGTTTAACTATTTTGTATAACTTTGAATTATTGCTCCATTCTATCCACCGTAATGTGATAGAGCCCAAAACACTTGTGGCGAAACACATGTTACACAAATGAGAATTTCCCAAGGTAATGGTCGAATGCGATCACTCACTGCACTGACAGACCTCAAAAGCCAGAGTGCCCTTTGAGACAGCGGGCACCGTAACCCAACCACTGGCTCGCCGCGCTGGCGGTGCAGCACCAATCTTAGAAAGAGTGCAAGATACCCGCCCAGTTCAGCCAGTGCCAAAATGACGCCACGAGACTGTGCCTGCAATCATTGGCTAGTATCCGTCAGTCAGTTTGTGATGAATTATTCAGATTGCCTCGCTGGCTCCTACCATAGAGCTACAACCCATTCTACAATCAATGAAGGATGAACAAAACGTCTGTGGGCTATACCATTGAGAAGTTTAGGGAGGTTATTTGGAATTTCATATTGTGAAAATTTGGAATAAAAGTACCTGAGTACTCAAAACAAAATTTCTCCCACGTTTAAAGGAAAGAACTATTACATTGGAACAGTTTCAGACAAGCCATCGCTTTTTTTATTTTAAAATTGGAGGAATCTGCGATCTGGATTAGAGCCTGCCCACCTAAGATTTATTAAACTTGTCCTACACATATTCAGAGCCGTTGGCCAGGCGTCCAGCTTTTGGTGGACTATGCGGTTTCCCAATACATGTACTCGATTCAGGTCATCGAAGGCCTCAATTTTTTTTAAACCTGACTTTGAAGTTGTAAAAGCGATACTAAGTCTGACAGTGCCATAAAAAAGAAACAAACATCAAAATACTTCGAATTACGTACGATGCTTCAGGCCTACAATCAGGGATTAGTTTTAGAGACGAAGCCCTCGGATGGAGACGAAGTTGAAAAACGTCCTTAGTCACGTGTAGTCGTCATGTACAGTACATGTACACATGTACAGTACAGTACATGTACTGTATCTCTGTACATGTACGCGCGCTCATCGATTTGGACCATACTATTATTTTAAGGGGTAGTACCTAGGATACTAACATTGTCGCGTGAAATAATTAAATACTTAAATTATTAAACTTCATTGCATCCATTTTATTACTTTCTAATATGTTTGAATATATCGAACGTGCAATGGCAGCCTCACTTTTACCCATTTGTAAGTTACAGCCTTACTTTCACCCGTGAATAGACTCCTTCAACAGCTGTACGCATCCATCACACGCATATTTGTTGGGCTAGTTCACCGCAACGTCATTTGGACATGTCAAATTAACCCCTTGCGTGATGCCNGTCACGCCTGCCGTACATTTTTATAGGGAATGCTAGGCTAAAGTGGTACCCTCAAATAATCGTACAAATAGACATACCTAACTGCTGGGACCCAACTAAGGTGAAGAATAAAGTGGCCAGTTACAATTTAATCGTTTACGTTTGTGGGATTCGATATTGTCGTTTCAGGCTACCTGGCTCAGACGAAAAAATAACTCTCGTTTGTGGCAGGGTCGACGTTTGACAAAACTAGAAGCCTCGTCCTAACGTTTGTGATCTTGGGATGTGAAGCAGGTCTGCCATTAAGGTTGCTGTTTGCGAAGGTAGTTTTCAATCGATGTAAGGAACGATCGCTTTATTTAAATGTCCACTATGTCACCAAAGATGTTGATTGCATTATCTTTTATACAATGCTGCTACCTGTTTTTGTTCCTTTTTTTAAAAATAACAACAAGGAAGGGGAAGACATCTGGTAACATTAATAGATTGGGCACACTTAGTACATATAGCTCATCTAGATACCAGTTGGGAAATATTTCCGAATACGTTTGTACTGTCAGGTTAATCTGCAACTGAAAGATTTAATGTTTAATAACGATTTTCAGGCACTATGAGCATATTTGTACACATATTTGTTTCAACAACCCACGGCCAACTCGACTCAATCCATATCCCACCCAAATCACAACAACGCAAGCCTAAACCTAACCAAACCAAAACCCGGAAATGCTTGCCCAAATTTTGTCAGGCATTTTTTGGTTGGCCATTACGTTTCCCTTCTAATGAAATACATCGAAATCAGCAAAATTTGTACAGGTTTCTGGACTTTCTTTAGGGAGTAACAAGCACTTTGAGTTTTGAGCAGAAAAACATAAATAAACGCCTCAGGGTATTTTGTTTTAAATAAATGGAACAAACTAACACAAACAAAAATACAATCAGACTATGTTTCTCTGCTGGGCGTTTTGTTTGAATAGCAAGAGTAAGCCCCAGTCTTAGGACATTTTTCCAAAGATGGTGCATACATTTTTTACGACTCCTTTCCAGATTGTTGTGTTTATGTTATAGGTTTAATCATATTTCACAGGTTTGAAGCTATGATTTTTCATCCCATGCGTGGTTAAAACCAAATACAAATAAAACAAACTAAAAAAAGCATGAACCAAAAATAAGTACCTTAACAAACCTAAAATAAGGAAACAGGACCGAAAAGGGTTTGTCCCCGGAAAATGGATACAGGTGATGTCTGAAAAAAATGTGGGTGGTTCAACTCAGTTTGGTAGCACCCGAGTGTTGCACCACTCCCCAAAACGGCAAAGGTAGCATACATGTGTTAGTTAAACCTGCCTTACAATTATAGTAGAGCTGTCTGCCTCGCCTAAATTCATTTGTGACTAATGGCGTAAGCAGATAACTCCAGTGTGCGGTCATTTTTCAAGGAGACTTTGGTTATTCACAATACGTAAACATGCATTGTGTCCTGCAAGTCTTTTGACGAAGTGAAGTGTGGCGTTGCATGGATGTATAAAGCAGTATGAATTTATAAAGCAACAATACATGCATTTCGAAACCATGTCTATTGCTTTTGCTGTAACCCCTGACCTGCAAATATCTCTGGGTTTTTTGGTGCTGAAGAAGACTCCAGACAAGGTAAGCTGGAAGATTTACCAATTTGATGTCGTCTACTGAAAATGAGTCTTACGGAGGTATATCACGGGTCAACGGAGGCAGCTTTACCTTTCTATATTATTCGTTGTCATTTTTGAAGCTGGAGGGAAAATAGGGATTGTCATGGGCAGATTGTTTACACAAGAGGCTTTAACCCCGAAGTGCCCAAATGTAGATGTGCCCTTGTGCGATCCCTATAGTGAAACATCAAAAGAAGAATGCATCGAACATTTTAGACAAACGATCCACGCTATATATACTCTATAAATTCTGCCGAATTTCAGAGTTAATCTGCCTATGTTGAACCTAATCATTTATGCTGTTATACCTAAAACCTTTACCCCACACCAAAACATTACAGCTAGGCCGCACGCTAAGCCACCAGCATTGTTACCTTTGGACTTGTACTGTGGTTGGGAACTTAAACTGTCCATCCATATCTCGATAAAAATTGACAAATAATGTATGCATCATGCAACTGATTTTAAACCTCCTCAACTGAACCCCCACTGGGCTTTCCTTGGGAAATACTTCGACACGTGTTCAACTACTTCTGGCTGCAGGTTCCACGATACAGTGACCTGGCTACACGGCACAGTAAAAATTCGGTCAACCATGACCGACCGCTGTTTTCCTGACGCTGCACACGGACGTACATTAAAAAAACCTGGACTCTCAATGCCCTTAATCAGCTCACAGAGATCACTGAATCAACTAGCGGCCATTTTACCGAGCCAACTACAAAGTTTGCCTGGCAATGCCGCCTTTGCCCTTCCTGGCTTCAATAAAAGAGAAACAACCCGCGCATTGAATTTGTATTCGGCTTGGTAAAATGACCGCTGGTTGGCTTCTATTCATACAAAAGCGCTTCAAGTCCAGTTTTTTTTTATATACGTCCGTGGCGCTGCCAGCCAAATCTAGTTTGACGCATATGCGCCAGTTCTGATACAAGCAGATCACCAAAAATGCATATTTATAAGGTTTGACCATAGAACTTTTCGACTGCAAAACGGTGGACAAACTCCTCCCAGTTTTGCTTAATATGGACTACTTAGCGGTTTGGAAGTTAAAATGAATATTCCGACATTAGATTGGCTGGCACAGGGCCCTTCGCAGCTCTTTAAAGTCCATGCGACGCAAAATTCGAAAAGATGACGGCACTTTTATCTTCCCGACAGACGGTGTCGTCCCCAAAAAAGGTATTGTTTAGCATGTTTTGTCCGTGTTAGGAAGTTTAAATAGACGAGGGGCTAAGATGTAGTTAAAAAGTAGGTATTGCTTTAAAAGAATAACGACCTTTTCAAAGTCTAAAAGTCCCGTACTCCTTAGAAACTTGAAATTGACAGCAACTGTGCAAACGTGTTGCATCACCGTGCAAGTGGAATACTGTGCATGTTTAGCATGCTGCTAACGCAGCACTGGCACATATACATGTGCTGCAGCCTGGCATGATATAAATTTTGTTGCCATTTTTCTACCACCTCAGGAAACAAGAGAACAAGATAGCAGTCCGAAACTTGCCATTTTCATTTCTTTATTCTTATTTTAAAAGACATTTCACGACACTCTTGATTTAGTATATATTAAATATAAAAATACAAATAATAGTTGATTTGAAGGTTAACACATTGGTGTTTGTTAACGGAATATAAACACTGAGCAAGTTATACTATCAGATGAAAAAAATGTAGATGTACACCCAAAACCTAAATGAATTCTAAAAATTCCGATGCATAACTACGCACTTTACCAAGAAGCTTTCTACATTGTTTGAAGAGCTTCTTCCAGAAAACCTGTTTCTCATTATAATTTGTTTGTCACTATAATATAATGTCACCATTTTTTTCCACAAATTCATAATTTACAGACTGCAGCTAAAATTCAAGAAAGAAAGTCATCTCAAGAATCTAAGTATATTTTGTAGAATCTGTGGAAACCGAATCCGGCATGCGGAGAAAATCTTAATGTAAACCAAGGAGATGTTTAGACTATACCAACCGAATTCTAGCAAAGTTTAAGATGGATGCATTCGGAGATGATGAGAAAAAATTCGTCATCCAGTGTCTTTCTGTTACCACTAATAATAATAATAATAATAGAAAAATAGGAAAACAATTACTTTAAGAAATAAAAGGATGATAAATTAATAAGGATAACTGAATGAATGTCACCGCACTAGTACCCAAACCGCAGTATGGGGATATGTCTGCCCCGCTAACAGGGAGAATCTAACCCTGCTGGCATCGGTGATGTCTCAATCTTTCCTGGGGACAGACGCCTCTAACCCTACCTACGATAAAAGAAAAGTAATTATACCACACACGGGTACACTACACAGATAAAATTAATAACATCACGAATCCTGCAGCGCAACATATCACCAAGGGTGGGTAGCATTTTACCGTTAAGGTAACTTAACAAAGGACCATTGCTTGATGACCTGAGATGATATCCAGACTCCTTCTTAACCCTGCGCGGCATTGTTTCCTCTGATTTCCTTTGTGCCGGTTAGACGCTCCTTTTTGGAGAGTGGTTTTACAACTGTGTGAATTGTATTTGTTTTGAGCCAAAAGCTGTTGTAAATGGCTCAAAGTTGCTACATGGATGTCCTCCACACTCCCAAAGAAAAGAAATGGCATTGAATTTTTTTTTAGGTGCTGGGGGGTGGAGCGGGGTGCAACCGAAGATCTGGCTGGCTATGGGCAGAGCTGATTTGGTTAATGCATGTCTAGACATGTGTCTCTATGGTCAGCCCAAGCCACAAACATCAAAGGGGCCCCACCCCATTGAAATGGTCCTTGGAGGGCATTTCCATTGATAAGTGCAGGCCTGATGTAAACAATCACTTGGGACTCACATCTGGAAGATGTTTGTACACAGTTCAATGGGCTTTGCTCAGGGACCGGCTCGAATATTTCTTTTTTCATGGCTAAGAGGAAGCCCCTGTGTAACAGCGACTAAACTAGGCTTTTCAGCATGAACAGAGGTAGGATATTATGGAAGGTTTTGATAGTTGGCCGTATTTTTTTTATATCAAGTAATTAGCAAAACGGTACTCCAAAATGGAGCAGCTATTGCTGTAAGTAGGGTTAATGATGACAAGATTCATTAATTATTTAGGAGCAAGACCATGGATGGTTGTGTATGTTAACAGGGTATTTTGAAGTTAATCCTGTACAAAACAGATAACCAGTGCAGATAATACATTATTGGTGTTCTGTGCTGAAACTTGGGTGTATTTGTAAGAAGTCTAGCTGCAGCATTCTGGACTGTAATCTCTTATCTGTGCTGCTGACAAACCATACAAAAGACTATCACAATAGTCCAGACGGCTGGTCACAAATGCGTGAATTAACACTGAAAGCGAATAGGGAGAGAGGAATTTAACTGATGTGCCTAAGGTTGTGAAGGTGGACAAAAGCTGCACACAAGCCTTAGTGATGTGGGTGTCCATTGTCATTTCTGAATCAAACCATGATCCCAAATTCCTGACGCCCGTGGACGGAGGGAGTACAGATTTTGGTAAAAGTTTATTCACAAAAGGTTTATTGCCAACAGTGACTGGTGTACAAGATTGACCTGACATGCCTCCTAAAAGAAGCCTGTGAAAGTTGTCTGCAGTTGGAAATTGTCTCTCCGCACAATCTTGACTGCTCGTTCCAGACAGATGGCTTCATTATCAAAATCTTCCCGGCAGTGCTTGTGCAAGGAGCTCCCAGGTCTCTGCCAAATGCTAAGACTACGTCATGTCCTTTGTGGGCTGTCCGATCTGGGAAGCGTGCAAGGATGCGATAATTAAGCTCAGTGCTGTGTGGACGGGTGTCGTGCTCAACATCAAGTTGCTAAAGATGCGCAGAATACAGTTTGAAAAGGTCTGCAAGCTTGAGGACTTGAGCTACATCTTCATCCATCCTTGCTTCATCGATGCATGTCAGCAACTCTGGGAGAGCAATGCTTTTACTGATGTTGTTAATTGTATTGGGATTGCGTTTTCGGGCTTTCTCTGAGGCAGAGCTTTGTTGTGAAGTGATACTTAACATGAGAGTTGATACTTAGTGTCTTGTGCTATCAAGTCCCCATCACTTAACTTTGCAAGAAGTCGCTGATCTTGAAGATCTATGGCACATTCTCCAATTTTCTTGTTGAGCCTGAAAGTGGCAGCTGCAAAGAGTGTGTCTTCGGTGTCGTCATCCACGCCAAAAAAAGACATCTTTTATCACTACTTTATGTTGTGCAGTTTGCAGGGTGACCTTCTTGGGAGCAGCTGAACTGGTTTTCTCGGAATGTCTCCTTTCTGCCTGCTCTAGCTTCGTCTCGTTGAATCTTTGCTTCACAGGATTTGTGACACTTTGCTGAGGGTCCCAGCATGATAGTGGCTTCTATGCCTTTGCTATCATCGAGGCGCCTAATGTCAACTGGCACGAGAATAGTCTGCAGCTCATTAAAGCGTATGACTTTTTTGACAAAGTAGAGTACCCTTGATGACCAAGACTAACATCAGTTCATTTGCTTTAGCTGGGCACTGCAGTGTTACCGGAGTTGCTGCTTGGCAAAGACAGCACACTGTCCACTCAGTTATAGATGGTGTCTCCAGAGAGGGTCAAGCCTGCTGTGGATCGACAAACGTATACACCTTGTACATGGCTGCGTGTGACACCACCAATTAAGGACCAGCACCTGACGACTCTATTCAGCAATAAACCTGTATGATGACTGGAGGGATTGTGCAAAGACACAGGGGATCATTCGGGTTATTTTACTGCATACTAAGGACCACTAGATGTCCTTACCAGTATCCTTTAACAGTCAAATGCATCGTCCATTCCTTCTACCTCACCTGTAAAAAACAAGGAGAATTGGTGCAGTCATTTCTAATCCACAATCTTCATGTTGCCACATGATGTAACATCGCTTAATTAAGCAACTACCGATGCAATTTCGACATTGATGCTTCCTAAAATCTCTGCACAAAGTTGGTTATGACGGTGACAGTAAATTATGACATTTTGCTGACTCATTTTGCTGAGGCCCAACATTACAATGTTTATGACAAGTGGTGAAGCGGGAAAGAATATACGCCCAGATGAATACGTGTTGTCCAGGAATGTGAGATGTAATAAAGAATTGTAATAATAAGAGGTGCAGATAAATGAGAATAAATACAAATATTAAAACCGACTTTCAACTGTGGAAGTCTCCGCCTAAGTGAAGTCACCCGAAGTGAGATGCCCACACGCAACGCTCGTAAGTGCGTACAGTTGGTGTTAATATTTCACTTGGTACATGAGCACCTGTCGTCAATGCCGAGAAAAATGTGTTCATCTTGTTTTTTTTTCTCACAAGGACGACTTGGCTGGCATACGCACTGGACGAATTGCGCATGATATTCCGGTCCAGAAGATTTAGGAGCAAGTTTTTAACCTCAGCAATCTCCCACAGAATGATGCCCCAATGTGAGATATTCACGGCACAATCATCCATAAGATTAAACTCATGCACAATTGACCATTATATCAATTATCACAAGCCTCGTTTATTCTTCGAGAGAACCTTAAGAGCAATCACCCAGAAACTCTTAAGCATCAAATTCTTCCGCCTTCCGTTGGATCTGAAAGTATTGTACGCCTATCTGAATGTGCTATTATCTAATCAATTTCTGTACATGAAGTTGGGAAATAGTACAAAAGTGCCAAATGCAAGGGAGAACATTAAAATTATTCATCAAAAAATATAAAGGCAGCTTCTTTATGGGAAGAAGCTGTATTGTCTCATTCGCGGGTGGGATACGTGTTTGTTCAGGAAAGAGTTAAAGGAGGAAACACGGACACCAGCACCTACCTTCTTGATTGTTTTTAATCACACGAGTTGAGTATTATCAGAAAATACTCGCAGATCAAAATGCCTGGAACAATCCATGGAGAGATTCATGGAAAGATCCCCCAAATAAAAACTACACTCGTGGGATTAACGCTGTTACTAATGTAGTCTGCGCTACTACATGGGCTAGACGTGTGTTCCGCGTTGATTAAGCCACGTTGCACGAGTGGACGGGCAAGAAGCCGGTTTGAAAGAGCGCACTCTCTGGCTCAAAATCAAGAATTGCTTATTTTATTGTATCTGGTACATTTTTTCCCCGATATTGAATTTCTTTAACTTTTCTTCAATTCTTTTTGACTTTTCAAGAGTGAAAAATTGTCCGAAATCCAAAACTCTATCCAACGAAACACCTTAATTGGTACAAATTTACAGGGTTTTTTACTTAGAAAATCCTTTTCTTTCAAGTGTATCGCGATGTAAAAAAATTTGAAATTCATACTTTGGGTTTGGGTATAATTATCTTAGGAACGTTATAGAACAAAAAACAAGAAGTCTCAATTATTTGGACCACTTCTCACCATTATCAGGAAATCACTGGTACTCAATGACAGTTGAGTCCGTGGATCAGAGTGTTTGTAAGCGGAATTATGTGGCTTTTCATTTTATACTGCAGCACTCTTACATTTCCAGCTCACCGAACGAACACGTATTAATTTTCTGTCGAGTGGTGCATCAAACCTGGAAAGGGGACTTTTTGAGCAGTTGAATCTTTAAGAAGTTACCATGTTTAAGTATTTTAAGTCCTGTTGCAGAAATAAAAGAATTTCAACCTGGAAAATCCATGATGCGTGAAAAGTGCAGCACACGATGTCTCCAAGGATTCTACATTGTCGTCTGCATGCATATCAGCATGATGCTTTTGTCAGGCTTCACCAAAGGTCTAGGGGTGATGTTAGCCACGCTGCGTGAGGAATTTATAGCTGACACCTGGATGATTGGCAGTTTAATTGCGGGAATGAATGCCGTGGCAGGTTTTGCAGGTAAGCTTTCGTTGAAAAAAAAAGTCAGGTTTCTGTTTCAAACATGTGACAGTGCTTTAACCCTGAAAGAGCCGAGGGGCAGAATCTGCCCCTCCTCAACCCTCCGCCCCTTCTAACCTTTCTAATGACGCCACAGTGCTTTTTTTTCAGGATTTTTCGTGCACCCCGTTGAGTTTATTTTGACACCATTTATGTGAAAATCGAAGATACCATTTTTGTGCAGCGCCCACTTTCCAAGACTGGACAGCCAAATCGTACACTTTTTTTTCACTGCAGTGCCGAATACACGCGGGCTTGCACATGTGTAGCCTTGAACTGCGAGTGACCGTAGCAACAAAACTGCATCACTGATTGAGTTAAAAATCCATGTATTTGTAATGATAAACAGAAGCTTTACTTGAATACTTAAGTTTGAAACAATCAAGCCTGGCGCAGCCAAGTTCTTGCGGGAGGGGGCGGAATCTGCCCCTCGGCCACGACATGGTCCAAAATAAAACCAGCTCTTTCAGGGTTATGAAACAACATTGGTTCTACAATCAATAGCATATTGTATGGTGAGGATTTGGGGGATCCAACATATTTTAAACATATATGTAAAAAATATTTATGGACTTTTTGTTTTGTGGAAAATACAAAATTTTCATGTAAGTGGTGTATCGATTGCTTTCGAAAAGAACTGTATCGTAAATAACTTTACAACAGCGAGTGCATTATATGTTAGAGGAAATTTCCCAATTATCGGAAATAAGAACTTGATAAGTAGCACTCTTGTTCAATTTCACGTGAAGATCACACTTTGACATTCCATTAAACCCAGTTTCTATGTTTATGCTGTTAAATTGCTCTTGTTTTTATTATATTCCATCGACACAGGTCCCATCTCCGGGCCTCTACATGGTAGTTTTGGAACTCGTACTGTGGTGGTAATAAGTGGGCTTCTCAGTGGAGCATCTGTGATACTCTCGTCCTTCTCGACCAGTGTTTTCCACGTCGCACTTACTTTATCCCTTTTGACAGGTATGCTTTACTTTTTCTGTTAATGCAGAAAAGTTCAAATTCTTTTTCTTTCAGAACTTGGTTCGTTTTCCATTGTGATAATTCTTTCGGCCGCTTAGGATATGGGTATCCATATCACGATCACGATTAATGTATGCAATTAACCGGCTTCTCGAAATTAAGCAGACGCCATATTATTCAGGTTGGAAGGTCGCAGGTGTTGCAATTACTACTGCAAATAACGATTTATTGTAATATAGTACACATAAAGATGGTTGAAAACATTGTATGCATGTAATATGCCCTGCTTAAAACCTCTGCGGCAAAATTCTTGTGTCTCCATGAAATTGATTCAATACTTTGCTTTGTGTCCATTTGAACTGCAGGAGTTTAGTGAGTTCAGTTTTGCAGACTTTTATCGACTGTTCCTTGAAATGTCGTTATGATAATCTGAAGAAATCGTTCCCTTACTAAGACAAGAGTTCGACATGAACACAGATGTGGATTTTTCAATTTTCCCCAAAAAACTGTTTTTGAAGCAGACTCGGGTTTTAAAGGATTGAGGCAATTTATCAAATCCCCACTCAAATTAATCACTGATTAAACCTGTGTTAGCTGTAGGGGTGAGCAACATTGTTGCACCAGCAGAAAAACAATAATATTTAAGAAATAAAAAGTATAAGCTTTTAAAACCCTAGTTTCCCAATATCCAGGCTTTCTTGCTTACTGTTTGCAGGGCCTGGTTTGTCTATTATCTCTATTTTGACCAGAGCAATGGCCGGACGCCATTTCACCACCGGCTATGCCATCGCTACTGGTATTGGGAGTTCGGGCCATGCAGTGGGCCTGGTGGTCGTTGGGCCCCTGACTCAAGTGCTTTTAGACACCTACGGCTGGCGAGGTGCCTTGCTACTGCTTGGGGCAATAAGCTTGCATCTTGGTGCATTTGGCTTCCTCCTACGATCAGCACCAGAGTCTACACAGAAAGAAAACGAATACCTACCACTTGTCTCCACTGAAGAGGAGGAGCCAGCTGCGGACCAATCCAGAATCCCCAATGGTGAGAAGAAATCACGATTCCACATCAAGAAGGACGCCATCATAGCGCGTTTGAACCTTCTCGGGTGGACGATTTGCTGCTGCGCCAAGTTCTGGATTGCTTTCCCTGTTTTTGGATGTGATTACATTACGTGTGATCTTTGGCTGATGTACTTTGTTGTATACGCTGAGACCAAAGGGTTTTCTGGATACGAGGCTGTGACGTTCACTCTAGCCGGAGGAATTGGAAATATAGTGTTCAAAATTGTCCTTGGACTGATTTTAGACCGAGGGCTACTAAATCTACGACTATCATTGTTTTCGACCATCATTGCTAGCTCCCTGGGTTTATTGACCCTTCCGTGGATTAACACATACTGGATGATGATGGTCAATGCCTTCCTCTTCCAAGGTCTCAGCGGAATGACAGCAACAATGAGTGACATTTACACCCGTGACCTGTTTGGAGCTGAAGATTTAGTTCCCGCTTTCAGCTGGATAGGTGTTTTTACGGCAGCTCTTGCGCTTGCTTTTGGATTTTTCCCAGGTAAACCACGTTTGTACTTTAAAAATGCTTGTTAATTAAAATGGGTATACGGCCACTCTACAGATGGAGCGAATTAACCATTGTTCTCTGAAATTAGTCTTGCTGCAATGATTCTTTTTGTTAGAAACAATTTTTTTCTTCAACTTTGTGTTCTCTTTCAATATAAGAAAACTCATTTATATTTCTTTCATGCCTTAATACATTGAATATTGCAGTTTTGTGAAGAATTGCGATAACCTGTGCTCTCTAACGGTGTTGCTTTGAGGTCATCTGGGAAAGACATAGCTCGGTGCATAGGCTTTTCAGTTCAAATTGTAAACCCAAAATTTACTTACTACAAGACTTCTGAGAAAGGGTTTGATGCGTGCTTATTGCTATGCACATTAATAACAATGTGTCAGCAAAGAAGAGAAAAACCTGAGTCCAGTAAAATGTCCTAAAATGCAGGACGTTTTGTGTACAAATAATGTAACATTGTGGCTTCTTCCTGAAATGACGTCACAATTTTACTCATAAGTATGAAATGCTGGTTAGCATGAGAATATTGAGAGGTACCATACCCTTTGAAATTGTTATACCAAAGTTGAAACTAAGGTTAGCTTGAACATAAAGGTGCATTGTAAAGGTTTGTATTAAACAAAAACCAATCGCAGCAACCCTTTAAAATGTCAACTGAACCTAGACCTTTGCCATCAGATCAAACAAGGATGGGCTTTGTGGCGTACTAACCAACCTATCTTTCCCAAAGCTATATTCATGCCATACATAGGAATGATAATTTCAATTTGAAAAGAACATGATTCGTTTTT